TTGTTCTCACCATTCAGAGGAATTTAAAGATCGTTTTTCTATTTCTGTACTAGTTTTGTCACCATTGAGTTTCTTTATGAACTTGTGCATGGAAAAGTAAAATAATGAAACCATAAATATTGAGGACAGAAATCTGTGAACGAGTGAACACTTCCTCAGGACTCGGTTGAACTCACTCGTAGTTCTCTGATGAAAGGTAAACGCCGTTTTTGTCTCGGGTGGCGGCCAGGTCCCGTTTGAGCCGCTCGATCTCCTCCGTGTATTCCTGACAGGACAGAGAAAAAGCTCCAGATTTTCCAGAACATGAAACGATGTGACGGATAAATCAGGAAACGATGGCGGCTCCACAGCGCCACCTTGATCAGCGTCCTCTTGGTGAGCTTCTGGTTGACCTCGGGTTTGTTCATGATGTTCTTGGCTCGGCTGGCGTACTCCAGCGTGCTCAGCGTCTCCTGCAGGGAGCAGCGGTCGGGGTGAGATATCTCAGAACCGGGTTCGGGTCGCGGTCGGAACCGGGTCTTACCTCCAGGTTGCTGGAGGACGGCGACACGGTGGCGATGATGGAGGTCTTGGTGCGTCCGCCCAGCGAGTCCTGCAGGATCCTGGTGAGTTTGGACTCTCTGTGGGAGAACCGGGCCCGGAGTTAAACCCAGACCAGCTGCTGGTTCTGCCAGGCCCGGTTCTGTGTGCGGCCCACCTGTACGGGACGTGAGGCCTCTTCTCCACCAGGGCGGTGATGACCCGGCCCAGCGTCAGCAGCGACTGGTTGATGTTCCCGGCCTCGCGGGCCCGCTTGTCCACGGCTCCGGAGCGGCCGATGTTCTCGCTACCGGCGAGGTCCACCTGGACAGAAGCGGGTCGGGTCAGTAGAGGTGCTTGGCCGGGTCCCTGACCCGGTCTGGGCGGTTCCTCACCAGGTTGAGCTTGCCGATCTTCACCAGCTCCTCGCCGTCCAGGGTGATCTCCTTCATGTGGATGGTGACGGAGAACACGGAGTGGGAGCGGCTGCAGAGACAGAACCGGTTCTGAAGGCGGCGCCGACCCAGTCAGACATTTATCAAAGTTTGGGTTTTTCCCTCCAACCAGCCGGTTTCCATTCAGAGCGACGTTGGCGCGCCCAGGGCGGCCATCTTGTTCTACAGCTTTTATTTATTTGGACCTTCAGCTCTTCAATAGAATATTAATGTCTGCTTACAGTTCATTTTATTTTATTAATTATGTGAATAAAAGTCATAAATGAATATCAATATTACCAGAACAACATTAGTAAGTTTAGTTCTGGTACCAGAACAACATTAAGAGAATAAAACAGTAACTTTGTGAGAACTGCAGCATGAAAACCAACAAAAAGTTAAAATGAGGAATGTTGAAGTTGCACTTCAGTAAAAATAATAAAAATAAGTAGTTAATATTTTTCTAATGCATCAGTATTAGCAGTTTGAAATGATTATGTCAATTTGAAGGAAAAAACAAACTGAGGTTCACATCAGATTTTAAAGCCGTTTTCTGGTAAAACTGAGTTTATTCTGCTAATATGATGATGATCTCATAATTAAACAGTTTGTAATGTGAAAAAGTTACTTTTTAAAAATATATTTTTTTGGGAGAGAAAAAAACAAACTTAGTTAAAAATCTAAACGTGGTCGCCATGGAAACCTGGAGTAGGCGTTCATCAGGGTGGAGGCGGTGCGCCTCTTGGCCGCTCCTCGCTCCAGGATCTGGTAAACCTCGTCCTTGTTGTGGACCACCACCTCCTCCAGCCCCTTCACCACCACGCCGCGCTGCAGCACACACAGGGCCGGGTCAGGGACCAGAACCAGGACCGGAACCAGAACCAGCGCAGTCAGAAGCTCCCACCTTGTTGCGCGGGTCGTCGAACAGCTGCAGGCGCTCGTTGACGTCCTCGGTGGGGCTCAGCAGGTCGAACAGCTCCTCGTTGTAGATCTCCAGCAGAGAAACCTTGACGGAGAACTCGGTGCCGTTCTCGCTGAGCTTCTCGAAGATCTGGTGCAGCGTCCGGGGAATGATGCCAGCCAGCGGGTCCTGCAGAACCGCAGGGGGTCAGGCCGCTGAGCGGAGCGCTGCCGACAGGGTCAAAGGTCAAACTCACCTCCTCCCAGGTGAACTGCGCGTTCGGAGTGCGCTCCCCCTCCATGGTGAAGGTCTTCCCGGTTCCTGTCTGACCGTAGCTGCAGAGCAAACAGGAAGTGGATCAGAACTCGACTCAAACAAGAAAACTCAAAAACTTTAAGGTTTGTTTACAAATCTTGGAGATAAAAACTCAAAACAAACTGAAAAAAAAAACAAAAAAAAAAAACAACAACATGGTTTCAATTCACCGTTATACAATTTATCAGTGTAAATATTCTGCAGCAGAAATTATGTAAAATAAATAGACACGTTTTCAAATGTCTCACATCTTTACAACGATGTTCTTTTGTAGATGGAACAAAAACTGAGGAGTAAATTTCTGAGATGAATTTAAAAATTTCTGATAATTTTGATGATTTTCTCATTTTTCCTCAATAATCCCTGTACAGTGGCTCTAGCACAGCATCACACCCCGTGTCAAAGAACAAAACATTAATTTAGCAAAAAAAAAATCTCTCTATTATAATAAGGTTTAAAATATAAACCAACCTTTTATTTCAATAACAGATCAATTAGTCATTAATCCTTCAGGAATAATTAATATTTCAATCTAAACAAATCATGTTAAGGTGAATGACCTCAACATTAAAGTAAATGCTTAAGCAAAAATACTAATTACAGAATAATAATAATTTTGGTATTTTTAAGAGACATAAGAAAAAAAAAGTTTTACTTTAGACAGCAAAAGAAATGTGGCTTTTATGTGTAAAAGTATTAAATAATGTTTTCCAATTTAAGATTTTAATCAAATGTTCGGCTGCATGTTACAACCAAACTGCAGTTTGAAAATCCAGCACCTTCCAAACCTTGAAAACACCTGACTTAAATTCAAGCATTTTCCAGGATCCCTGTTGTGTCTACTGAGCAGATCGGGAGGAAACCAGAGGCGACTCACGCAAACACGGTGCAGTTATATCCCATAATGACCTCGTCCAGGATGGGGCACACCACGCTGCGGTACACGTCGATCTGCTTCGCAGCCGGGCCGAAAACCTGGAGAAAATAAACGTTCCCTATGAGAGACCCAGTTTACCTCCTGGTTCTGACCGGGCCACAGGGGTTCTGACCGGGTTCTGACCATGTCGAAGGTGTAGGTCTTCCTGGAGGACTTGTCATTTACGCCGCCAGTCCTGACCAGCACCTCCTTCCTGCTCTGGTCGCAGTCGATAACTCCGTAAGACGCCCTGTGCTCCATGGTGTTGAAAGGCCTGAAACAGGAAGCAGAACCAAATAACAGGAAGTTCCTGCAGAATCAAACTCATTTATTATTGGTTACATTTAATATAGAGAAAAACACTGCATCTTTCCTCAGATAACAACCAGACAGAGATTTAAAGAGGAGAAACAAAAGCAAATGAGGTGGATTAGCAGAGCTAGCTAACAACTGATGTCATGTTCTGCTGCTGTATATTTGCTGTCCTGTTTGTTCTGAAGGAACAAACAGGACAGATGATATCCTGTTTGAAGAGTCATGAGATGGTAAAACGGAAAAAGACTTCAGTCAGAGGCTTTTTGATTCGCTGCAAGATTGACTGCTACTGGAGATTCTTCGTGCGCCGCATCACCACCATCCACAACGACTCTCTGAAGAAACTTGGATAATTTCTGTTAGGATAAATAGATTTTTGCTTTTACCCGGTTTTCTGTCTTACCTGCACCGGACCACCACCTGGATGTTGCGGCCCTTCTCCTCTCGCCTCCCTCCGGTACCGTTAGTGGAAGCCATGGTGGCCGCAGAGAGAAGCGCCTCTCCGCGGGTCTGAGAGCCTGCGGACGCCGTTAAAGCTCCGGTTAGCAGACAGCCACAGACCGAAAGGACCGCAGAAAACCTCACAGCGATGTTTTGTAACCGGAAGAAACCATTAAACGCAGAATAAACCCCCCGCTGTTTGAAATCTGCCGGTAAAGATTAGCGTCTTTTCCGGCAAAATGAGCCGTTAAAACTCAGAGTAACTCACCGAGTGAAGGAGTGTTTTCTCCTTCTGTGCCGCTATAAAATCTTGCGATGTATTTCCCAACAGCTTAAATAAGTAAAATGTCGGTAATCAGTTTTTAATTCCTCCTCCGAGTCCTCGGCAAGAACTCACAGAAAACTCCTATGGCGCTCAGAGCCAGAACTTCAAACTGTACTTTTAAAGTTTAACCCACCAATAGCAGTGCAGCAACGGACAAACAAATGACACGATTGGTCGGAAAGAACACGTGACTCCTTCAGCGTAGAGCATCACGGGAGTTGAGGAAATAAAGTACAACACTAACTCCACTAGATGGCGACATTATTCTGAAAACGGCTAAATGAACTTTCAATTTAATTTCCGCATAAAATATGACACAAAGGGGTTACATCGGTTGATTTAGCGAGCTTATTTTAGCATCAAAACTTTATAAGAAAATACATATTTAAAATGTTATCAGTTTTACTTGTTTAAAGATTAAATATTTAGTAAATGCTCACATTTTGATATCTACTGTTTATTTTCTATACATCTCTAGAAAATAGTTATTTTATTCTCCGTAACAAGAAAAGGCTTGCTAATCTGAGCTTTCTTATTCATTCAATTTTAAGTCAGATCAAATCTGGGTTTTGAATAGACCCAAGACTTTGTATTACAGACGTAAGTCAAGCAAAAGTTGTACTCAAGTAAAAGCAAAATGTAACAAGTGAGTAAAAACTGAGAAACTGATCAAGATACCTGATTTAAGATTTAAAATGATTTAATCTGATTTAATCTGACAGACTAAAATGTGTTGTTGGAGTTTAAAGACTAAATCAAAACAAAAATATAACAAAATTATAAAATAATAAATTCAGACAGCAGAACTGCCTCAGCGCATAGAAAATAACACGGAAACAAAGATGGTATACCAACAGGAGGTCTCACTTCAATGTAAACTGTAGATCTGTATCTGGTTCATTTTTGGTTAAAATATGTTTGTTCTTTATTCAGTAAATTTACCCACAGTGGATAAAACAGCCAGAAACTTTAGTCAAACATACTTCATAATCATACCTGAGCATCAAAACCTCATCATACAGTTAACAGCTGTGAACACCATAATAAAAAATCAACACACATCAAAATGTTGGTCAGTGTTTCATTTATTCTGGTTCAAAAGCAGCTGAGTTCAGCATTGATTTACAGGAACTCAGTGTTTCAGCAGGTCTTCAGTTTTCTTGAAGCTTATTCCAGATTTATGGTCCATAGAAGCTGAATGCTGCTTCTATATGTTTAGTTCTGCTTCTGGATCTGGTTGGTCAGAGCAGAACCAGAACCAGAACCAGAACCAGAGTGGTCTGAAGGTTGATCCAACAGCAGCAGATCTTCAATGTGTCCTGGAAACGTTCTCCAGCTGATGGAAGGCCGACTTTGTAACTGTCTTTATGTGTCTGTGAAGGTCCAGGGTTCAGCCTGATCTCTGGTTCCTAACTGTAACAACTGAAACTGTGTAGGTCCTGAAACCATCCCCTGCCATGACTCCTCCTCCTCCGTGCTCCACTGAAGTCTTTAGTTTGTCGTTAACATCGTTTTCGTTTTTTCAGGAAGATCTTTAGGGTTTTTAGAAAGTAAATTTCTTCTTTGCATTAACGTTAAATCTGTGTCTCTGACTTCATATCAACATGAGTTAGAGTCTGCTGAATGTCTCATGATGACCTTTAAGGTTCTTTTAGCATACTGCAGCCTGCTTCCAGGGTGGATTTGCTTTAACTAGGCCAGGCCTGAAGGAAGATGGTGAACGTTTTCCGTCCAGCAGAAAGGCTGATTTTAGGTTGCAGGAGGTTCCAGTCTGAGGTCCGCCTCATTTCCATAACTATTCTAACTGCGAGGGTGGCAGCAAACTGAGGTGGGAACGGCATTGTTCCCTCCCTCCCACTCGTTCCCGGCCTCTCCGAGTCTTTTTGTGATCGGCGGCCCACTCGGGACCCGGATGGACCCTCTTTTCCCCCCGTCCTGCCGGGCCGAGCCGCAGATCCAGAGATCCAGAGGAGCGGGTAACTTCTGGGTGACGAAGAGGAGCTCCTCGTCTTCCTCTCCTGAAGCCTTCGTCTTCTCTCAGGCGACCCAAAAGCGGTGAGTCCGTCCAGAACTGATCTTTTCTCACGTTTGGGTCAGAAAACCTTCAAGTGGAGGAGAAAGAAAACAGCAGCAGATTTCATCACTGAGACTAAATGAGATTCATTTGTTCTGAAATCTGCAGGAAATCTTCTGAATCTGCAAAGTTCAGTTTGGTGGCAGAAAATGAAAAATGTAACCTGGAGGTTTGGTTTTTAGTTTGTTTCTGCAGCTTCATGGTGACTCTTTTGGTTGAAAACACGGAGGAATGCTGCTTTCTGTGTTTTCAGGTTCGATGAAAGCTGCAGAAAAATTCAGACAAGAAGCAGAAAAAATCTGAAATAATCTGTTTTCCTTCAGGAACTCTGGAAATCTTTATCACCATCTAAATGAGTTGCTTTTGTGTTTGGAGAAGATTCGTTTCTTTGTTTTCCAAGTCAAACTCATAAATGTTATTTTCATGTGGAATCAGTTTTGATCCTTTATCTAAAATGAAAAAAGGAAATAAAACATTAGATTATCATTTTTAGCTGCTTATTCTCACTCCAAAGACAAAAGGAGGAGATCAGAAACCTGCATTTCAGAGAAAGTCTTGGCTTCAGCTTAAAGTCAAAACTGGAACATTTGTGTAAAAATTCACCTCCAGTTCATTAATTTTAAATGATCTTAAACTAAAAGTGGATAAAATATAATAAAAAGCATAAATTCTTCAGACTTTGGAGGCTTTTTTGCTTTCATGGAGTAAAAAGACGAGGACAAAGCTGCACATGTTCTCTTTTTACAGAAATGAAGCTTCAAAATGCAACAAAAATAATATTTTAAGTTTTCCTGGATTTTTTAAAAAGTGTTTTCACATTTCTGTTACAGATTTAACAACTTGGAGCCTTTAAAGGAAACTTAACCTGCAAAGTTTCTTCATCTTTTCTTTAATGGCCGAAAAACATAAGATAGTTTTATTGGAGTTTAGTTCAAAATCAGAGATCTGTTAACCTCTAAACGATTAATAAATGATTATTTTATGACAAATAATCCAAAAATAAGTTTTTATACTTTGTGTTTTGAAAAGATTTTTTTGCTTCTTTTTTATCATCTTTATTAATTTGAAGCTCAAATTTGAGATCAAAATGTTGATCTGATGTCAGCTGGAAGATTTTTACTTAAAATCCACTTTTTAGTTTTTGATTTTTAAACCTTAATATGAATAAATGAAAACCTGGAAATCATTTTAGCATTTGGTTCAAAAAAGAAAACTGGAAGTTCATTGAATGAAAACATTAATTCATAAATCATCTTACAGGTTATTTAATTTGTTCAATCATAAAAATGGAAGAATAAAAATTAAAAGGAAGAAATTTTTTAGGTTTTTTAGGTTTTAATTGCTTCAAGTTTAATGAATTGGAATGGAAATGCAGGAGGACGACAGAGAGCCTTCATCACTAAACCCAGAAGAAAATATGTTTTATTGTTTGATTTTTGATTCATTTTCTTTGCATTTTCATCCAAACTGGAGAGAAACGGATCAACATGGACCGTCGGCACGTTTTTCCTTCAGTTTCTCTCATTTTGTTTGGGAAACAACAGATTAAGCTTCTGCAGGGCAACAAGAACATTTTTACATTTCCTTTAAGTTTCAATTAATGAAACAATACGAGACGCTTACAAACAAATCAAATTTAACTTGAATAAAAATGATTTTCATGATTATTCACTTATTTTGAAGTCATGTTTTGTGTTTTTGTCAGTTTAATCCGGTTTAAACTGAAACATTTTAAATGTTTTGTTCAAAATGAAAAATCCCAGGAAAGACAAAAGAAAGTTAAAACGTGGAAACGGAGGAGAAAGTTGCAGAACAGATTAAACAGATTAATGTGAACATGAAGCTCTAAATGCATCATTAAGCCTCGTGTTTCTGGAAAACCTTTAAATGAACCTTTTACTTTTATTGTTTCTGCTTCACGACGTCTTTATGGGCTGAAACACAAAGAGACTCATTTACCCTGCAGGTTTTAGTGTTTAGATTGAATTAAAGCAGAACCAAATAAAACCAAATAAAAAGACAGAAAAATCATGAAACATGTTTCATCATTAATAAAACTTCATTTGTAGGAATTTTATGCTGCAAATCAGACAAAATATTAAATATTTAGTTAATTATGGAGAAATGTTCATTTGGTTTTTATTTATTTATGATTAAATAAAAATCATGAACATGAAAAAGTAAATATTCCACATATTTACTGGACCAATAAACAGTAAGGAGATTCAGAGAGGAAATAAAACCCTCACATTTTCTGCTTTGTTCTTTTATTGTTTTAGAGATAAAAATTAAAACTTTATCAACATAAAATAAGTTTATTTCATGTATTCATGATCTGGCAGTAGAAAGATGATAAAACAATGTCTGCAGATTTTTAACTGCAGACATAAATGTGTAAATAATAGATTTGGACCAGAAATCCACAAAAAGACATTTTGATCAATTTCTAGATTAAACGGAAAAAGAAGCAAAAAAGTAAAGAAAAATCTGAAAAATTCAGGGAAAAGAGAGAAATATTTTAAAATACAAATTTTAAAGGTATAGAATTTTAAAATAGATTTTAAATCTATATTAAAAATAGATTTTTTTATATAATCTATTAAAAATATAAATAATTATACTTTTATCTTATTTGTTGTTTTCTGTGTTCATTTTATTTCTCTCTTTTTTGTTTTTCCCAGATTCATTTTTCTTTTGGTAGTTAAAACAAAAGTTTGTGCAACTTTAAATGTAAGTTTAAAAGAAGACATTTATGTTGAACTTAGAAAGAATCTGAAATGTAAACACTTAAAAAGTGTCAGAAATGCCTTAAAGTAAAAACACGACTTTAGCTCAAAACTTTTGTCCATAAAAGAGACAAAAAATTTCTGTTTCAAACCAAACTGATGAATATTTTGTGTTTTTGGGTCTTAAAACTAGAGTTTGTTCTGTTTTCTCCACCAACTATCATGATAAGAGCAGCTGGGCCATCAGGACTCCTCTGGTTCTTTGTTCTGACCCGTCAGAACCAAATGGACCCATCAGAACCAGAGTCTGTTTAGAGGTTAATAATCCGGGCCTGGTTCTGGTTCTGAAGCCTCTCATTCATGCAGATCCTCCGATCTATCATCCGACCCCCAGCAGTCAATACCCTCACATGAATATGCAACCAGAGTCGATCAGCAACGATCCGACTCCACTGGTCCACTGAACACCAGGAATAATCCAGGAAAACCGGGAATGAACTAGGACTAAACCAGTTTAACAACCAAGCAGTAAACCAGAGAAATAATCCAGGACCTAAAACTAAAGCAGGTTTTCCCTCCACTGTGAGTCACCAACTCCTACAGCTTCGGCTCTGAATCCACGCAGGGAAGCTGCTTCTAAAAAAGGCCGGAATGACTTCAGATGACGATCCGACGCACAAATAAGGATCTGTTTTCATTTTATGAAGGTTCAGATCTGATGGTGATAAAGAACTGGGAACATCTCTGGGCTTTAAACATGAGGTCAAGCTGAGGCCTCAAAGGTCACGGCGGCTCGGACAGCTGCTGCAGGTTCCACCTTAAAACCTGCAGTTTGCTGCGTTTGTCTGTTTTTCTGTCTGTAAAAATGTTAAAGGGGCAGCAGGCGGAGAGCTGCGGCCGAAGACGAAGACAAAGATCCATATTAACAAAAACCCCAAGATGACAGATGATTAATCGGCGCGGCGGGCTCTGCCGGGCCGCCGGACCCCCGGCTGACACCCAGAGCCGCTCCACACAAAACCACAAACCCCCCAGAGCCCCGGCGGCCCGCAGGAGCGTGGGCGAAGGGTGGACACAGGGCGCCGTCCCCACGGAGACGCGGCTCGCTGGCGCACAGAGAGCGGAAAATAAAGATGCGCTGCAGCAGAATCTGACAGGAACAGGAGCTGAGATCCAGTTAGTTTGCTGCAGAGCAACCGGAGTGTGTGGGAGGGTTTACACGTCAGATCGGGTGTGTTTTCTGACTCCATTCACTGCACTCTGAGTGTGTGTGTGTGTGTGTATGTGTGCGTGTGTGTGTGTGTGTGTGTGTGTGTGTGTGTGTGTGTGTGTATGTGTGTGTGTGTGTGTGTGTGTGTGCTGCTACCAAACCCCCATCTGCCACGGGGTGGGCGGCTCGCCACACAGCGACAATGCACGGCAACATTTTTGGATCTGTGGGCGTTGAAAGGCTGCAGAGTCCTCCTGCTCTCAGATTCAGCACAAACAGAGCAGAGCGAACTGGAGGCACGAGGAACATTTCTCCTGTTTAAATCTGAACGGTGCGGCGTGCCGATGTGGCTCCTGGATCTGCTGAAATAAAACAAGAAGGAAACAATAAAAGTCCTCCAGTCAAATGAGATCAGAACTTTCTGACCAACATGCAGAACTTCAGCTGTGAAACACGGCAGTGGCAGCATCATGCCATGGAAACCTGCAAGATTTCTCTTAAGTTTTTTTTTTTTTGGTGGTTTTTCTCTTTTTTGGTCATTTTTGTGTAATAAGTAATTATTCTATATAATACTAACATGCAGTTATGGTGTTATGGGATGAGCTTTAGATCAGGGTACCTAAAGTGTGGCTCGGGGCCATTTGTGGCCCTCAGAATGATTCTGAGTGGAACTGCGGTTCTGACAGCACTGGTTCTGGTTCTGCTACACTACATTTTAATGTCACAACAAAACCTTTAGACATAAAATATTTAACATCAAAGATGACCTGAGAAAAATCAAACTGCAGTTTTAAAATAATGATTTAATGGTGAGGAGGAGATCCAGGGGAGACCAGGACCTGATGGATGGATGGATGGATGGATGGATGGATGGATGGATGGATGGATGGATGGATGACCGGATGGATGGATGGATGGATGGTCAGTTGGATGATCGGATGGTTGGATGATCGGATGGTTGGATGTCTCGGGGTTCAGGCCGGCCCCCAGCCGCTCCCTGCCGGCGGTGTGTGGGCTCCGCCGGCTCCGCTCCCCCGGATAGCGGCCATATAAGCAGCCGGAGCTCCTGCCACCTCACCGGAGGACCTTTTATGGAGACACCGCGGCCGGAATTCCGAATCCCGCATCTCATTTCCCCCTAAAACAAATCCTGAAAATGATGCGTGATGATCTTTGGGAATAAATCCGTGATTTAAACCTGAAAGTCTAATTTTAAATCCACTTTGATCTTTTTATTTTTAATAATCCGGCTTCTCTCCTCACCGCGGCTCCACTTCTTCTATTTCTGGAGTTCCCTCTTTTCTTAAGGCCAAGTCCATATTTGGTCAGTGACGTCAAGGGACACCCAGAGATCCCCTTTATAAGCATCCTGAGCCGCGTGGGAGCCGCTAAAACGACCAGAGAGGCGGAGAAAGGAGCGGGGTTAGTGGACAGCATGAAGGGACCCGCCGAGAGCCGCTAGCAGCGGACCGGGGACACCGTGTTAGAAACCCAGCTGAAGATCCTCGGGATGAGCGCGAAGGTTCTGCTGGAGGGAGTTTCTGCGTCTCTGAGCGGCGTGGTGGACACGGCGGAGGGGGGGCTGACTGTTTTTAAGGAAGAGCCGGTGGGAGAGGAGGATGGAGGCGGTAAGCTGACTCACCTGGCTGCGGCAGAGCGACCTGCAGCTGCTGACCATAACGTCTCCTTTCTGTGTTTTTCAGGTGAACTGCTGTTCGAGGGGAGGAGCACACCTGAGCTGCAGATCCACGGAGATCTGGCGCAGTACGCGGCCACTTTACGCACGTTCAGCGGGCGGTTCTCCGTGGACTCCAGGGGGGCAGGAGCGCCGTGGGCACCCGGAGACCCCATCGACGTGGTCAGCGCTGACATCATCGCAGCCGCCCCGGAGTCCGGGTCCGCGCCGGATATTTACGCACCTGGAGGAGGAGGCGGCATGGCGCACGGCCCGCCGGACATCAGCCACATGTACGCGCACCCCCACCCCGCCCCGTCCTACTCCTGCAGCGGGGAGATGTACCAGGACCAGTCCGCCGCGGGCTACCTGGCGCCGCCCACCTGCTCCGGGTCCTACCACCCCCCGCAGCCCTACAGCTCCGCGCCCAAACCCGGCGTGGACGGCCCCGCGCTGCTCTCCATCATGCCCGAGTACGGCGGCTTCTACCAGCAGAGCTGCCAGCGGGACCTCCAGTCGGCCTTCCCGGACCGGAAGTCCCTGCCGTACCCGCTGGACCCGCTCAGGGTGCCGCCGCCGCTCACGCCGCTCAACACCATCAGGAACTTTACGCTGGCCGCTCCACCCGCGGCCGTGGAGGGCCCGATGTCCGCGGCGTTCCCCACCCACCAGAACCTCCCTCTCAGGCCCATCCTCAGACCCCGGAAGTACCCGAACCGGCCGAGCAAGACGCCGGTCCACCAGCGGCCGTACCCGTGCCCCGCGGAGAGCTGCGACCGGCGCTTCTCCCGGTCCGACGAGCTGAGCCGACACCTGCGCATCCACACCGGCCACAAGCCCTTCCAGTGCCGCATCTGCATGCGCAACTTCAGCCGCAGCGACCACCTCACCACGCACATCCGCACGCACACCGGGGAGAAACCGTTCTCCTGTGAGCAGTGCGGGAGGAAGTTTGCGCGCAGCGATGAGCGGAGGCGACACATGAAGATCCACCTGCGGCAGAAGGAGAAAAGGTCCTCCGCCTCCTAAAATCTACGATAATTTAAAAGAAATCGTTGTTTTTCTGCAAAAACCAGATTTTCGTTATTTATGAACTTAATCTGCAAAAATGAGCAGAAACTTCCACCAAGTTTAGTTTAGATGACAGAGAATAGATTGAGCAGCTAGAAGAGTCTCACGTTCTGGTGCAGGACCTTCCTGTCTGTGTTCTGATGCTCTCAGGGATCCAAACAGCCCAGATTAGACATGAACTCAGCAACATGTGGCTCCATCATCTCAAAGGCTCAAATCCCAACTTCTTCATGCAGTAAAACGGTAGAATCACTTCCTCCACGTAGCTCAGGTGGTCCAGTCTCTGGAAGACATGTTGAATGTTTCAGTTTGTTTGCTCAGGACGTGAACTGGAAGGACGATCTGCAACTTTCACTGGATTTAAGGTTTTACCTGATGAATGTAGGAGGAGACGTCTGAGTCCAGGCGGAAACGCTTCTGTCGTGCTGCAGAGTTCTTATGCAAACGTGACGAGCACTAAAGCAGCTTCTTGTTGATGCAAATAAATGTTGGTTTTGTTCTGGTGATTTGTTGCTTCTAGACAATCTGAACTAAAACTGATTTGGTTCTGGCTGCACTGGGGGAAACCAGAGACGGTACATCACTCAGCATGGTGCCTTCAGGGTTCGTACATCTTACAGGGAACGTGAAAACAGTAGATAGAACCTGGGTTTACAGATTACTTACAAGTAATTTCTCAGGGATCTTTACGCACCTGGAGGAGCGTAAAGACAGGGGGTACAACAAAGAGGGGGTACTTTGTTGTACCCCCTCTAGGGGGAATCTTTACCCCTGTAGAGGAACCCCTACAGAGGACATCTGGAGTACAGCACATGTTCAGACAGGGTACTCCTCACCAGGTACAGGAAACACATCAGCAGTAAAATGCAGGGAAATATCAGAATTTCTTGGGTGGGAGAGTCTGAATAGTCTCTCCCACCGGACCAGCGGACCTGCTCAGCACCAGGAGGCAGTTCCTGGTGGCAGAACATGAATAAAAGAAAAGGGAAAATGTTCATGGTGAATCTGGCAGGTTTTATCTCTTTATCCAGTACGTGTGTGCCCCCCTTTTTAATGTTGCTCTGGGCAAATGCCCAAATGGTCCCTCTCATAAACGTGGAGAACATTTGGTCAAGTACCTTCTCTTTGGGGAACTTAAAGGTATTTATTTACACAGTACATACATTGTGCCACTTTTTCTAATACGTACAGGTACCATGATACCTACAGGGTAAATATAACCTGATATTTACTTTGGAGTAAATATTTAGTTACTTTAAGTCAACATAAGTTGTCTATGTGTTACTTTCAGGGTTACTTTCTATCAGGTATATTTCTGTTTCTAACTACTTACCTCTATGGTATACTTCAGAGATGTACATATGGGGTACATACTATTTAAAAGTTTATTGCAGGGCACATTTAAATCTCTTTGGGGGTAAAGATACTAACTCTTACAGAGAACCTATGATTAACTCAAGTAGATGCTGTATTTTCCTATTTTTTCCTAAAAGTCCGGCTGTGTAGATCTTTCTGGACACAGATGGGGTATTTAATGGCTACTTTGTTGTACAAACAGTTCTGTAATGTAGGTTTCATGTAAGTAGTGTAAACGTCCTCATCGGCGTATACTCTGTAGACTACTTACCAGGTGAGTAGAGAAACCGACAGGGTGAGGCAGTCTGGTGCTTTCTTACTTACTCAACGCTGATCACAACACTAAGGAAAGTTTTCAGGCATTTCAAGTGTCTGAACTTCACTATTAGCTTATAAGGAGCCTATACTCACACACAGCCCTGTATGTTCCTGGTACTTAAAGACTAGGGAATAGTTAGATGATACTCCCTCATTTCCACTCAGCCGTATGGCACGGCTTGGTGCGGTTCGGTACAGGAGAGTGTTTCCACCGCTAGTTTATCTCTCACAGACTAAATGGAGTTAAACCCAACCACTTCATGTTGCATCATAGCCCGATGACAAACGGGACTCTCACCAGTGCAGAGGTTCTCAGCTCCAGTCCTAAAGGAGTTGAGAAACTTTTCGATGTCTACCTGGTCCAACACACCTCAATTAAATGCCTGAGTCACCTTTCAGTGCTCAGTGAAATCTCCAGAGTCCTGCTAATGACTATTTTACTCAGGTGTGTTCAAGCAGAAACGCATCTAAAAGCTGCCAGATATCGACACTAGAGACCTGGATATGAAGACACCTGAGCTAGTATGTCTCATTTTCGCTGCAAGCAGTGATGTTTTTCTGTCCCCTAACCAACGGACAGTGTAGACTGACGCCAGACGCTCATTCCTAACTGTACCAAACCTTATGGACCAACAGCTGAAGGGAGTCCAGGACTGGTGAGGTACAGACCAGTTCTATGAACTACTTCTTCATGGGAACAGACTGAAGTGTACGGAAAGTTGTACGGAAACTCTTCCCTGTTCTTACACTCGCCACCAAGAGAAGCCTGAAGGTGTGTGGCAGAAGGGAAACACCTAAAACATGCAGGTCAGTGGTCCCTGAGGACTGGAGCTCAGGAACATGGCTACTTTATCAGGTACTCACAAGGTACCAGTAGGAAACTTCCAGTAGGAATTTACAGGCTGTGCTCGGGTCATTTCCTGGGTTCCTCTACCTTAAAGTCCTTGGTTGTAAATAATCTGCAGGTTTAGACTACACCAAGTGGTAGACTAGAACTGAAACCATTAATCAAATCACTGGACATTAAAAAACACAACTTCCTGACAGAACAACACTCAGGAAAAAATAAGCCAGATCTGTATTAAAAAAATATAAGTTTTGCACTTATAATAATAAGCTGCTTTAGCTTCACCTGCTTCAAATTCTGTGGGAAAAATAAGTGCAGAAATTTAGGTAACTACTCAAAATTAATCATCATATCAGCGTTACACTGTACTGATGTTAAGACCACAAGAAAAGGTTGAGATTTTTACGTTAATGTTAGATTTTCTTAGTTAAATCTTTTCTGCATTTGAGTTTTTATTATCTAAATTGGGCAAAAACTTATGTTGTGATGAATTTTAGCTGCTTAAAGCACTGAAGAGACTTTTACTTGGGCAGATTTAAAATGTCTCAGTGATTTCTAATCAAAGTTTTGATCACTTCCCTAAATACCATGAGTTAAATCTCTTGAATCTGTTCATCATTGATCAAAGATCATAAATCTGTCAGTTATCAGCTCATTTATCTGCTTCCTGTTCCCTCCTCCGCCACACGGTGGCAGCAGCGAGCTCTCTAGATCATTTTAGAGACGTTACCTTCTGAAAACTGGACTTTTAATTTATTCTGCACAGCTTAAAAGTGAGGCTGAGACAAAACCATGTTGATTATCTTTATTTTGGAATCACGCTGACAGCTTTAACCTGCAAAGATCAACAAAACGACCCCAGCAGAATCTCAAAGGTTTGAGTTGGAGCCGGATTTTAATGCAGCAATCATCACATCCAGGTTCCCTGAGGATCTCAGAGATAAAAACCGCAGAGTCCAGATGAGAGGAGAAATCTGGAGTTTCTTTCTGTTGCTGAAAGCAGGAAGACGAGTCGGCGGCTGCAGCCTGGAGATTACTTGGTTCAAAGCTGCATCCTTCATGCAAACGCTGGAATAAACAGCAGTGGAGGCCGAGACACAAACAGATAAACGGATAAATCAGAGCGCAAACTGCTGAGATCAGGATGTTGTGATGCCAGAAATAAAACTGATTTCTCCTGGTCTGAAAATGTTCAATTACAGAGCAGCAAACGTCTCCAGTGGGTGTGTTGTTTAATTATTACTAAAAACATGAAGCATGTCATTAAGTCCAGATATGGAGCAGCAGATAACACGTCAGGTCTGCACAGATCAATGACTGACTGACTGCAGGAAAACTCACATTCTGAGTCAGAATTATGTGTAATTTGGGTCAGAACAATGGAACTACTTTACAATGAGGCTCCTCTTTACAGATAGCTAGTACATATTTCATAGATATGTTAATTACTATCTAAATACTTTATAAACAATTAATTCTGGGAGATAAGGAGAAAAACTCTACAGTTGAGGCAAGTCGGTTCACCTGTATATTTCATCTAGAGTTATTATAGACTACTTTGCACAATTAGCATTTGTAAATGTTTTATTTTAGCATAGTCTCATTCTCACCCTTACTAATAAACAGTTATTAATGATTCATTAAGTGTTTATAGATGAATGGTAACATGTCTGCTTGATGTGCAGAAAAACTGATTCTATAGAAAATCGCAATGATGAATCGATTCAATACGCTCAAAAAATCATTTTCAGTCTGCTTCATTTTTTTGTAAAATTATATAATTAATAATTGACATTTTTGTTTTGACTTAAGGAAAAGCGAGGCAGCTAGGCTAACGTAATACTGGTGATTTAAGTTACAGAATTTTATGCACAAAAATATTTATGTTTAAATATAAACTGATGGAATCTGGTGTAGAATGGGACCTTAGAAAGTCGTTTAAATAAATGTTTTGTCAGGCACACAATAGATCGCTTTAATCGAAAGTCGTTTTGAATCGAATCCTAAAAATCGAAATGAATCTCTGAACATTGAAAGATCCCTAATATCTCTAAATTATTTATTAGCCATCTATAAGGGGAGCTTTATTTTAAAGTGGTACCAGAATGAGTCTGCCCAGGTCCGTGAAGCCCGGTTCGGGAACGGGCCAGGTCCATTTAACCAGGTTCGGTCCGGGTGGATCACAGGTGCACCTCCGGGCCGGGGTACGGCTCCCCTCCACACCAGAAGTGAGACGGCTGGGAGATCTCCATGAGCCAGACCTCCTTCTCCTTCCCGTCCGCGGAGTTCGGTTCCGATTCCGTCAGAACCTGGTAGTAGTGGCAGTCCCTGCCGTCGTCCGGGTCGTACGGCGGGGCCAGAATATCCATGAACGCCGTCGGCCCGTCTACGGCGTCGATCTGGTGAAGGTTGTCCCGGTCCGGAGAGAGGACGCAGGGCCCGCTCTCCTCCGTGTATTCGGCGGAGGACCGCAGCACGGAGCGCCGCAGAGCGCCCATCTGCGCCGGGGGCAGCGGCGGCGCCGCCTGCGTCCCGCCGCCGTGCCGCTCCAGCCGGTCGAAGCAGCTGATCCTGACCTTCCCGTAGAGGACTTTGAGCACGCCGTGCATGCCCGGGTGGTCGTGCAGCGGGATGGAGGCGCCGGTTTTCAGCAGGAACACCCCCATGCTGAACTGGTCCGTCTCGCAGATGTGCATGTAGGTGACCGGCGGTACTCCGTGGTGGTACGGGTTCGGCCGCGGCGCGCTGTCCTCGGCTCTCCGAGGAACGAGCTTCAGGTCCGCCGCTCGGACTTCCGTCATCAGGGTCTTCAGTTTACCGTGGTTCTCTACGAAGGACTTTCCGCTCTCCTCACCGAGTCCTGGTGGGTTCCTGAAGGTGACCAGAGCCTGTCGGGCTATTCTCTGGACGATGGAAGTCATGGTGCTGTCGCTTGGCATCATCCCGGATCAGGAGCGCCGCTGCCCGGGTCCGCTCCCTGCGGTTAGCCGTAGCCCCTCGGTTAGCTTCAAAGATAGTTTATTGTCAAGATACTTCACTCCGCTGTCAACCCGCTTCGAACTGAAGGATCTTTGCTCGGCGCCAAACTGTTTAAAATTATTTCACAAAACTAAAATTAAACTAGTTTCAGTCTAAACATTAAATATTTAAACAGAATAATCATAATACTTACAATGAATAGGATTCTACAGTAAAGCGACTTTATGTATAACACGTCCTGCTGTTCGTTTAATCGCTTTGTTATTTTCTAAACACATTAATGTTTAAATGTTTCGGAAAAAAATAACGAATTTCATAATAATCTCTGAATATATGACCTCGAGGCAGAAAATCTGAATTTAACGGTCACTTCGTTTCACTTCGAAACCCCATTTTTAAATAACTGTCAAACACGTCCGCACCAGGCAGCTCGCACGCATAGAATCATGGGAGATGTAGTTATTTTTTAAATTTTTTTAGCTAAAAAAACTCTACTTTCTTGTCACAAAGTAAAATTAACTTGAAATACATTTAGAGAAGACTTAATATAGTTTTAGTACTTTATTTAAAAAAAGACTAAATGATTACTGTCAATATGTTTGCTAGTTTGAGATTGATCTTCCGAATGGATACACTACATTTCCCAGCATGCTACAGTCGGTGTAGTGATAACCAGTTATTCCTCGAATACAAGCGGTTAGGCAGGGAAAACAGGCTGTCTTTCTATCAAACTGTGTCAAGTTTGATGTTTATAGATCAGAAACTGAAACAAAAGGCGACTGTGTGTCACAGAAACCCTGAAGATCCCATTTTAAACTGGTGTCATCTGTTGTCTAAATCCAGGAGCCTTTTTATGCATCACAGAAAACATAAAAAATAACAAGATTCTCCAGGGAGAGATGATTATACAACACATAACTGCAAGAATTTATAAAAACAAGAGTTGGATCCACATGGTATAATTTTTTTTTCTCTGACCAACCAGACTTGAAAACTCCACAAAGTGTAAATTTGTGTAAATGAAGAAAATCCCCTTCAGATTGAAGGAAATGTTCATTGACCTTCTTGCGGTCTGTAACAGGTGATTTCAAAACAAACCAGGACTAAGATCACATGTTTTCCGCTACTAATCAGACTTTCAATTGATTTTAAAGCTCAGCTGTTTTTGTAGTCATCAATAATGCAGCACAAAAGCAAAGTTAACTCTGGAGTGTTAAACATGTTTTCATAAACCCTCCCAGAAAGATTGACCTCTGGTATTCACAGCCACTTGTAAAAAGATAAAATCCCAAATGCTTGATATTACTATATGCTTATAACTATCTATTGTAATAGTTTTAACACCAAATATACCTTAATATACATTAATACACAGTAGAAACCATCTTAGCACTACATTGGAAGCTAACATTTACCGTCTTCCTTATCTCTGTTACTGGCAGTAGTAGCTCAGCCAATCAGCACTAAGGAAAATGAACGGTGCTCCTGGATTCTCTGCTTTGCAAACATCTGCTAATAAAGTAGCATTAAGCCAAGATATGTCAGCTTCCAAAGCTGTATTTTATTTGTAATATTTTAGATATACTCTGAGAAAAAAATCAGCAGATAGGCAAATTTTCTCAGATTCAAACTGCTGCATCCTGGGTGCATAAAGTAGCATCAACATAGATCCTTCCTCCCAGCTGATAGACTCTATGCCTGTCACTACTTCCAACAAAATCAATGTCACTTACTGTAAATAGTCTGTTTTATAGCACAAATACACGACAACACTTTGTAATGTTTGATTAAAGTAACCTGTCCACTTATACTTTCCTCTGGATCAGAGAATGTTATTTTTAAAACCTACACAGTTTGTTGAAATGTTGCATTTACAGTACAATATGCTATTATTTATTCTGTTTTAATGTGTTCAGTACTTTATATCTTTGTGTCTGTCACTTTGCTACTGTTGCACTTTTCCCTCCTATGGGACAACAAAGGTCATTTCGATGAAAAAATAATATTTGGAGTGTTATGTTCCAGACAGAAATTAGGCAGCAGTCCTCTTGTGGTTATAGAAAAACTGTCATATATAGAGAACATAACATAATAGAGAAAAACAAAACAACCCTATATTTCCAAATATCAAAGTATTTTGCAACTCCAGTAAAATCCTCCTGATCCTGTCAGACCTCAGATTGACGTTGTGTTTAGCGATCATTTCCTGCAGGTGTCTCTGACTGATAAAATCCTTTATTTGGTGGAATCTGCTCACAGATTTATTTGTTTTGGTTGGACAGATCAAAGCAGACAGAAAGAGCGGATCCGCGACCCGCTTCACACCAGAACCGGATGTATAAACCTCATGATACACTTTTCCCACACATGAAGGAAAAGGAAGCACCTCAACCATGATGTCACATTCCCATCAGTGGTTTTACGGTTCACTTCTCTAAGAAACAAACAGTATATGAACACATTATTCAGCTAGTAAAGCATAAAGGAGAGGCTTGAGATAGGACTGCAGATAAATGGGCCTGAATATTCTTAACTTTGGGAGATCAGCTGATTAAATGGTAAGTCAATCTGATCTTACCGACTTCCACAAAGTTCTGAAAATCAGCCACTGTTTCCTTTTACTCTGCTGCCGACTTGTCGCTGTATTTAGCCTCTTTAGCGACAAAAAAATCAATACTGACCAAATCAATATCAGCAGGTCAGGCTTTTTAAAGATCAGTAATTGGCCAGAAAACTGAGGAGGTGACTTGACCTCAAATTCTCCTGATCTCAAAAAAATGGAGGATCTGGAAACGAAGAAGAAACTAAATATTTAGTTTACAAACTAGATATTTAGTTTCTTACCAAATATTTAGCTTGCTAACTAAATATTTATAAATGAATGAATAGTATGGTAAAAATGTGACCAATAAAATAACCAAACATTATTGTGGTTTAAACGCCTCATCCTGTTCCATTAACATAAGAAAGTGACTGAACTCCAGTTTTTCATTGTTTGTGCTTATATGTAAATAATAATAAAAAAACTAATAATGGTGGAAACATAATTAGGTTATTTCAGTGTTATTATGCCTGATGTAATCATCGATAGTGAACATTTTGATTATTAATTTTTACTTCTTAAAAACATTCTATTGAATTAGGATTATAACAGAAAGATCTTATATTTACATTTGAATATTTGTTGTTTTCTTTATTATTTAAATAGAAGCTCAAGAATAAAAGTGCAGGTTCATTTGAAGGACATGTTTTCATAATTAGTTTTGGGATGAAAATGAAAACTTCCAAGTCCAAGACAGTTTGGAGATGACAAAGAGATTCAATGGATGAATGTTTTCTCCTCACTTTAGGTATTTTTTGTGTTGCTATAATTGTTCAAGTCATTTTAGGGATTTTTACATTTTATTCTGAGTTTTATGTGTCTGTTGCAGAAAGGTAATGTCTTTTTCTGGTAAAACCAGTAGATTAGAAATGTGGTGAGCATTGAGTTTTTGAATCTTCCCTTTGTCAGCCCGACACCTCCAGTAAAAATAAAACGTGCTCCCCGTCATGCCCAGCAGGACGCCGACGTCTCCGTGCGTGGAGCATCACCGTCTCCCACGCTGCTCCTCAGCCTCCGTCTGATAAACATCTGACACCCACCTCCACACAATGTGACACCAAAACACTGCGCAGCTCGCGTGACGTCACGCCTCTCCTCTCCTCCAGCAACATGTTGGCTTTTTTCTACAAGCAGGAAGTGAAGAGAGGCTGAAAATAGACGGAGTGATTGTGGGCCTGATGTGGAGCCAAGCAGTGGAAGCCCTGCGTGGGTCATCGTCCAAACCAAATAAACAGGATGACTTATTGCAGAGCAACAGGCCATCAACACACACCGCCCTGTATATTTAGAACACGGCTGTAAACAGCAAACAGTTTACCTCGTTTTGTGTCGATAACAGACTGTCGATGTTCTCCAAACGCTCCGAGTTCAGTGGGAACATTTACAGGAAGAAAAACTGTTTAACAAGAGAATTTACTGTCTATTTTAGTATCAACTCTGCATGTTTACTGGGGTGAATTCAGGATGAAATAAGTTGAATTTTGAACAGTTTGCCCTCTAATTAAAGGTATTTTCAGTCAAGGACAGGAGGAAATAAAAGCATTAATAATTGTCTGCTTATTGTTCCAGGATTCCTGGAAAGCAGAATTCCTGTTTATTCCCATTTAGTTTCAACTCAACAAACTTACATTCGAACATGTTGTCATTAATTTCTGTGGTTCTAAGATTGGAAAAGATGAGACACTTTTTTGTTTAAAGTTTTTCCAGCAAAAAAAGATCAAATAAATAAATCCTGAAATGCATGAAGCCATAAAAACTCCCATAATTCACCAAACATCAGCGTATTGATCCACACACAGATCCATAACAGCTTTATTTAAACTCAGGAGGCAGCAGCTTCTCTCTGGGAGGTCAAACTTTTTCAGCTCTGAATCATTTGGGAACCAGGAAGCAGCAGCAGCTGAGCTCTTGTAAAGTGGTTCTGACTCGGTTCTGGTCCAGAAGTTACCAACAAACCAGAGCAAAAACATAAAATTACTCCGTCTGGTAGATGTTTAATGATGGGTGTTGAGTTGAACTGAGTTAACTGTTACTGAACTTTTGGTAGAAGCAAAGAAGAAAGTAACAGAACGGCAGCATCTCCAGTCAGTGCAGAGACACAAACGTCTATCGGCCTGAAATATTCACTGTAATAATAGCAGCATATTCACTGTGTGAGCAGTAAAGCTCCTTCAGGGTAACAATCTAACTAGCAGACTGATTATTAATGAAGTCAATGAGACGTTTTAGTTACATGTTCTTGTGTTAGCAGGCAGCTGACATCACTCTGCATCTAAATTGTCTCAAATGCAGGAAATATTTTCTAAAACTGGAAAACTTTAAGCGTTTCTGCCCGACGTTTACACGAGTTTCAGAATTTAAATTTGTTCATGTAAAATCGGCTCTTATCCCAATATCTAACCCAAATTACTCATACTCATCAATGGCTGATCACATATCTGCATGACCTCCAGACAATAAAAAATAACCTCATCCAACTCCGGTCCATTTGCCTAGAAAGTCCGGTTTGTTTCTGAATGCGTAATCAGCAAACTCTGGTCCCCCATAAGCCTCGGTCTGGGTTCGGCTGAAGTGAACTCTGGTGCGGTTCAAACGCAGATATGAGCACCAAGTGGACCAGAGACCGCTCCAACAGCAGGTAGTGGACCACAGCACACGGCATTCTGGGTAAATTCAACTAAAACGAGCGCATTAGTCTAACGCTAGTGGGAGGAATGTCCCTTTATCTTTTACCAATGACAAAAGAGAAATCCTCCAACTGCTAAAATCTGACGTCGCTCCATTTTAAGAAGGAAGTTGCTCTCAGTGTCTTCAGAGGTTTTAGTGTCGTTTCCTTCAGTGGTTCTTGGTGCAGCGCCCCCACAGGCCCGGAGGGGAACAGGCTGGTTTGACTCAGAGCCACAGCAGCTGGAGGAGGAGCAGATGATGAAACTTTGGTCCACAATAGAACCGAGCCTACCGGACTATCAGGGGGGAATCTACAGGAAGCTCTGGCTTTTTTCTCCAACAAGTTGGAACAACTTCAATGTCTTCAATGCCAAATAAAGCAAATGAAAAAGGCCTCGATGGTCAATAATCAGTTACTCCAGCAGGTACAAAGAAAGACCAGTTTTTTAAATAAAACCAGCATTAAAACCAACTCTTCCTGACCCAATCAGGATGTATGAATGGGTCACAGACCAGTGGTGAACATGCCGAACCCTCAAAAGGCAACAAAGGGGCAGTTTGAGACTTGCGTGCCGTTATCCCTCTGACACTTCAACGTGAGCGGATCCAAATGTGTTTAGTGACAGACTTCTGTCCTCAGGGTAAAGACAGGAAACTGAATCCAGAGGCCAAACAATCCCGTAGGGAAAGTTCACATGCAGACACTGACATCACACATAACCCTGCGCTGTTCTTCATTTCCGAGACATGAAGTGGTTCCTATAATCCTGCAGCAACTAATTTATAGTCTGTTTAAGTTGAACTCCACAAAGCAGCCTGCGAGCTGCATTTCCGTCTGATTTTCTCAGCGAGTCTGTGCCTGCAGAGATGTGTTTATCTTGACGGGGTTACAATCTGCAGATGCTCGCTGATACCACCGTTTCACAAAAACACATTTTCTCCCAGCAAAGATGGCGACGTCAGCGAGGTGACTTCACGGCCGGGAGCGCGAACAGAGAGCGGTGCCGTGCGAGCGTCCGCCTGACGTCAATGTGTTGTGTTATCGTGTTTACTCTCTGTGTGGAAGACCAACACACGCCTGCTTTATTTATTGACACACTCAGAGGCAGTTATGAACCGTAACAAAACAAGTCATTTAACTTTCTGTCGAGGCGTCCTGTTCATCTCCAGATGTTTTCTCTCCAGATAGCAACGAATGGGTCAAGAAAGAAACAACATTACACCAACACATCGCTGTTGCACATAGGAAACATGAGATCTATTGTACTTACAGTTTGTTCTGAAACAGACTAAAATAAAATAGTAACAGAGTGAAATAGACTTTCTATTTATATCTCCAGTCATCTTGGATCTTTTCTAGGCTTTCTCAGAAAAATGTTATTTTTTTGGCTTTTATCCAAAACCAGCCTCCAAAACTGAAAGAAGTCAGAACAGCATCAAACATTAAATAAACTATTATAAATGGATTTCTAAGCACATCCTGTCAAGGCCAAGAATATTCATGAACACATCGCTTTGCACACAGGAAACATAAAATCTACTGTATCTGCAGTTTTGATGCACATTTTCTGAAACCGACTAAAATCAAACAGTAAGTTTCAGAGTCAGACTTTCTGTTAGTTTTTACAGTGACTTGGTTCTCCAGAAAATGTTCTTTATTTTGGCTGTTATCCAAAACTAAAGAGGAGCCAGAACTGTGTGAAAACATGAAAGAAATGATTTTAAAATGGATTTTAAAGCACATTAAGAATTTGTTCTTGTTTCTGTAGTTTAATCTGTGATAAACCCGGTCGCCTCAGACCAGAACCAGCCTCGCTCATCAGGTTGATGAGCCTTTTTGGGCCTCTGGACACTTTCAACAACAGACTTAGAGAAGATATGCAGCATCTTGATGCAGGTGCTGAAGATGAATCCATTATGAAATGATAACCCAACACTGTATTGTTCAAAACTACCAGCATTTTAAAGAAAATTCACAGAAAACTCTACAATCTATTTAAAACAAGGAAATGTGTAAATATTAAAAATAAAGTTTGTCAGCACAATATTTATTTACTCTTAATCTATCAGTATGATTTGTATTTTTAAATGTTCATGTTGGTTCCTCTCTGTTAATGACCCACAATGGTCAGTGAAATAAACTGAAAATAATAAAAACGATTTACTGAGTCTGAAAATGTTCTGAGGATGTTTGATCTTCTGCAGAAAAGAGACTCAGAGGTTTCATTCGTTTATTTCTGAAAATATTTCTGTTGAACTACAATTCAAAAGCAACATCTGATTTTCACTGGTTAATTTTCAGTTATTGCTTTGATCAGTTTCAAGATATTTTAAATATCATTGTGGGTTTTTCAGTGGTTAGCAGGGAGATACCAACTATTCTGTCGTGTGTGTGTGTGTGTGTGTGTGTGTGTGTGTGTGTGTGTGTGTGTGTGTGTGTGTGTGTGTGTGTGTGACCCAGTGATGGGGATGGAAATGAGTTGAATTTAAAGGAGCTGGTATGTCTCAAAGGATCCTTCTGTGACACAGAAGATGCTTCATGGATGCAGCAGCACCAGATGAAGCCTCACTGTGGTTCTGGATGATGTCACGGTGATCTCTTCACCAATCTACAACACCTCTAACCTGCTGCGAAGCTCTAAAACTCCATCCACTTAGTGACTCGGGGTTGGGACCCGACTCACTTCAGAGTCCAGATCCCATATCAGCAGCATCCCAAAGGAGACCCAGAGGGAAAAGGTCCTAAACCTCCTCCAAGTCAACAAAGCACATAAAACTGATTGCTTGAGGTCCCAGATGTCCTCAAGCATCCAGAGAATGACCAGAATAAACAGACGAATCAGAGCAGAAAAACCCAAACTGGTTCAATAAAAGGGAAAAAGCCCCATTCGGTTTCCTCTGTGGTTCTTAGATGTTCTCAGTGTCTCATGAGAAACAAGCACTGCAAGAAAAAAGGTTTTCTTTCCTCAAACTCAGAGCCAAATGTTCTCACACATTAATAAAAAACATGTTTTCCCTGCTTTATGATTCCATCACATACAGACACATGTGGTCTTGTTTTTAATGACAGATTGCACTAGAGGTACCATGTGACTGAAGGGAATAAACGTTAATAGAAGACAGATATAAAAATCTTCAACATGTTAAACACACTGTTTGCATCTTATTGTAGTTTTTTTAATCAAACTGCACATTTAACTTTTAATTAATGTTTTTTTCTCTCTGCTTCACTTCGTTTCCCTTGAATTGTTATACAATAGCTCCCTCTGCTGGTTAACATACCGCACTGCACCTAAAACCTGTCAGAAGTTTCTGCATAAAAGGTTTTAGCAGTAAAGCTACTTTTGGACCAAAGAGGAACCAGCTGTGGCAAATGGAACGAGACACTCAAACAAAACATTAATATTCTTGAAAGGAAAATGTTTGGGGACACAAACTATGTTTCTTTTATAAGCCATGTTTTTTAAAGTCTGGCTAAAAATATTCTCCCACTTTTTACTATAAACAGACTTGGGTACACTTATTCCATGAACCTGTCTGAGGGTTCATGTTGCTGGGAATACAATAAATAAAATAGAAAACATTAAACTGGAAAAGTCAGGAACACATCTACAATATATCTACAATATATTTTTCCTCTTTTTTAACTTCTGCCATTAAAATAAAATTTTGCATGTTTAATTTCTGAGCTGGGAAAAATAAAATAATTCATAATAAAATTAGAATTATTGATTCAAAAAAGAAAAAATGGCCCCAGAGTTTTTACCAGTTGCTTTGTTTTGGATGATGGTGACACGTTTGGATCATTTCAAAACGTTTCTTCAAAGGTTCTTGTGTTTCAGGTGATTTTGGTTTTTTTATGATATGATGCTTTTATCGTTGACCTGACAGTAATGAAGCCTCTTTTGCCCCTTGAGCTACCAGCAAAGTTGAGCAATTTGGAGGTGTGTGTGTTTGAACCACACTCCTGCATCAAGTACAGCAAACGTCTTATTACAGTCTGAAGAGTCTTATCACAGATTTCTTTCACACTTGCATTTATTTCACTTATTTTTTTCTAATTCCCCAGGTTTTGCACATCCGGTTGCCATGGAAACAGCTCAGATGATATCACATGATCTGCAGAAACGATTAAGCAAACGGTCCAAGGAGTGTGTCCTCGGTTCTACCGTTCAAGTTCACATATCTGCACTAATTCATCTGCCTCCCGTGTGTGTGTGTGTGTGTGTGTGTGTGTGTGTGTGTGTGTGTGTGTGTGTGTGTGTCTACATGCTTCATGAGCGTTGGTCTTACTTCGTGTGTGTGTGTTTACACTTGGATGAGCCTTCTGTTCAGTGTGCGGTCGCTCTCTCTCACTGAGCTGGGTTTTTAGGTCGC